GACATGGTGAAGTTGTGAGCTTCTAAAATTAATTTTCTCAAACTAATGAAAATGCTGATTTCTTTTAATTTATATTTTCCTTTTAATGGCATGTTTTTGGGGTATGGACACACTGTTTTGTATTGTGTTTGTGTCCAGCCTAATCTGCCATCCAAGCAACCGTCCAAAGCAGCGCCAGTATCAGTGTGCCTGGCAGGCGGGGCAGGGCCGGGCCGGGGGTGTTGAAGACTGCCAGGAGAGCAGCTGTGAGGCACTGGGAGAGAAGGCAGGAGAGAGCAGTCTTTGAAGCTGTATCCCCACCCTCCCTGCCTGGCTAAAATGGATGAGTTGTTCGGCCCTGATGCTGATGGTGTAATGTGTGGTCTCTGTAACACGCTTACATAGATACTTCCCATTAATGTCTTTTCTTAAATTTACCTTCCATGTTAAGACTTGCCAAGAGAAACCGTATAGTGCCTTAAATGATTATTCCATTCATACTGATTGAAACTGTAATCCGCGCTGAAGTTTCCGGTATTAAAATCCACTTGAGTTCTGTTCTCGGTTGCCCATGTTGCTAGAACTCATTTCTGTCTCCAGTTTCATAGTGTACAGTTTTCATTCTTCTATGAGAAATAGAATTTGCCATTAAAATTCCAAATGTTGGAATTTCTACTTTAACTGGCTTTGTACAGACTTGTCCACTTTCAGCTGCACAAAAGTCAAATGTTATTAAGTGTAATTACACAATGATATATGACTAAAAATCAGGAATATTAAAGCTCACTTGTATGGAATCCACAAAATATAGCTGATTAAGTTTGATTTACCTTTTTTTACCGTATACAGAAAGTGCTGTAAACTCGGAAATGTACTCAGTTAATAATGGTTAGATTAAATTTATAGCCAACTTTTCTCTTTTCCCACAGGCCCAGTAAATTTCATTGCTTGGACAGCTCGGGCTCCCTCTTGTGGCTGATTTAACTTACGAAATGGCTTTTATTTTCCAGCACAGTGACATTCTGAGTTGTATTTTATATAAACTACTATTAGCAAAAAACATAAGTGTGTAGCATCCTACTTAACAAGGAAAGGTCCCAGAGGAAGCAAAGAAATGAGTAAATCCTGAAGGTTTTGGATGGCTTTTCATTTCTTTTCCCTGTTGTGTTAGTGATGAAAACATTCCTCCTTTTTGTCTCACTCTTCAGTTTAAAAAAGCAAAAGCAAAGCAATGAAATAAGCCCAAACCTCCCAAGTATGGCAGAGATCCTTAATATATGCAAGCAGGAACTAAAAAAAGTAAAATGGGGATTCCTTTCAAAGTGCTTTAAAAAAAGTTTAGTAAAAGGCATTTAACTGTTAACCTGCAGTAGGTAATAAGAGTATTCATTTAATTTAGTTTGGCTCAGCTGTTTGCTTACATGACTGGATGTGGGTCAGAAGCAGAGGAAACATGTGATTCCCTAGGGTGTAGGGTATGGTTGTTTTTGTTTTTTAAATCTGGTCATATGGTCATTTCAATTTGCACATTTAACAATTGATACAAAACCTTCATTTCAGTAGTACAGATAAGTCTTTCACATAAAGTTCCTTATTGCAGTCAGCTTAACTAGAGGTTCACTTTGGAAGCGTGAAGTAATGGCTGAAATATTTGTTACTGTGCTTGGCACAGTGCATTTCATTTGTTTGATAATGAGTAATATTAATCATTGGTGGTGGGGGGGTGGTGTCTCCTTGGTCTCAGGAATAAAAATATTTGACAAGAATTTGACCTTTCTTTCTCCTAAAGGAATCAGCAAATAGAGAGAGCTCCCAATTCTAGTTCTGCAGGGTTTATTTTCAAGAGTTCATGTAAAACATCTGTGTAGCCAAAGGGCTTTTTTTAATTAAGAAGAATGGCCATTAAAATTCCATGGCTATTTAAATTTACCATTTGTGACTCAAACTGAAATATTAATAAGGGTGCAGATGCAGACACAAAAAATAATGTAGACCTTATTAATGTGTAGAGTTGTTCAAGCTTGTGAAAACAAAATAAAAATAAACAAAACCCCCCTGGAAACTCATCACTTACTGGGAATTCCCATGAGGTTTCTTGTGCGTTAGACAATCTGATTAGCGTACAAATTGTCCAGAAGCTATTGATTCAGATGCTGCAATAGGACAATCTGAGTATACATTATATGTCAAAACCGTGAGTTCTAAAACAATTCACAGTAAAAAGATGAAAACAAAGTGAAAGAGGGATTGTGATCTGGCTTTAAAGATTTAATTGAAGGATTGCTTTGTTGTGAGCTGTTAAGAGCTATACAAAGATGAATTTCCTATGCAGTATATGCAATACCTACATTTCACCTTAACAAGACCTTTCTTTTTGTAAGCTTTTCTTCATTTGCCTTCAAAGGAAGCAGGAACAGGCCTTTGGAAGGAAAATGCTTTTATTAGGTTACTTTATCTGTATCTCATTTCTGGATATTCTTTTGTGGGGAGTTAACTTGAATAAATGCTGTGAGGTTATCCCAGTATGGTAACACTTCTTAAACAGATGGAAAATAAATAATGTCAAGATGGGAATTCATAAAAGCAGTTTGCTCTGAGGAACATTGTGTTTAGTCCTTTTCCT